TACAAGAAAAGGGGAGGTTTTCCTGAAAAGAAGTCGATCGCAATACCTAACGGTGCCATTTATGCCTACTGCTTTTTATTTTAGCCGATGACTTTCTGCATTTAGCCGAAGACTTTCTACCACAAAGATAAACACCGGAGGCAATTTAATACCCTCCTTCCTCCGATACGCCACAGATACTTCTGCATAGCATCCTGATATCCGAACCCACTGTACAGCTGTACAGCTGTGACGCCACACACCCAATCGAACACGTGCTTTAGCACAAGTCGTCATGCAACCCGAGCCTGGCCACTGACCCGTCTGGGTGTAGTGCATCCAGTTGAGCATGATCTCGGGCGCCCGGTACCAGCGCGTGGCCACGTAGCCGGTCATCTCATGCTCGGTGGGCCGCGCCAGGCCGAAGTCGAGGATCTTCAGCTCGCAGTCCTCGTTGACCGCCAGGTTGCTGGGTTTCAGGTCCTGCCGGTCACATGTGCCCTTCAGGTGAGCTGGACGGGGAGCCGGACCCATCCCGCTCCGCAGGAGTCGCGTGCTCGGAAATGAAAGCTCCCTGGCTACTGGGGAAACTCGGTATTGCAGCTCACGCGGCGATGCAAAAAACGCGCGCATAAGCCGAAGCATTTGGATACACGACACGGACAAGAACTCATTTCGAGCACTCGTCACAAATATTACTTGGGTTTGTAGACAATATGTTCGCCGCCGGGTCAAATGAGAAGTGATCCAGTTGTAACCGAGATGTGGCATTTCCGGGGAAGCTAGCGGAGGATGGCAGGTCAAAGGCACCGTAAGAGGGGGCCACAGTAATATCGCAAAAGCCCGAACGCCAGGTAAGACAGAGGCCACCATTTTGCATCAGCTACCAAACCTCTTTGTCAAAAGTGTTAATTCAATCTGTCGGTTTGAGCGCCTTTTGTGCGCGTTGGTCCGCCAGCGACGGCGTGGAGAGGAGCTCAGCCTCAGCTACACTCCCGTGTGACGACAGCGTAGAGGATCACAGCGACAGTGAACGCTGGCACGCGCTACTAAATCGAGCGCTCCAAACAGAATCCACATGTGGTGGAGCCATCTCCACATCGTTCCACATCCAAAACCCTGCCTATGACCGAAGTCGACTGATACTTCGAAACTCATTTCGTCGGTACCTCTAAACAGAAGTGCAATCACGCTAGAGACACAAGAACATTTGTATTTGTTCAATTAACGCGAAGAAGAACTGTGCCCCCGCAAGCAACTGTCTCCTGCCTTGGAGCCCCAGGTAGAATGCCGGCGCTTGCTGCTGACCAGCACGCGCCGTTCACCAAAATGCCATGAATAGCCCGCTTACTGGTGGCACGTGGCTCCGACCCGGACGGCGGTCGCGCGCCAGCCGCCAGCGGCGCACCGTCCGCGCCACCCGGCGCCGCCCGCGCACCACTCACCCTGTGGATGATGCCGGCCGAGTGGATGTACTTGAGACCGCGCAGGATCTGGTACACCAGGAACTGGACGTGCTCGTCCGTCAGCGACTGCGTCTTCAGAATGTTGTTCAGGTCGGCACCCATCAGGTCCGTGACAAAGTAGCTGCGGAAGGCGAGCTTCAGACCGCGGCCGGCGACACATGGCACGTGGGAGGGACCGGTTACGGAGGCGGGCTCCTCTCGGGCTGTGGCGGCCAGCGGCAATGCCTGCCACGTGCAAGAATTACACACGGAAATGACTCACCAATCTCAAGTGGAGTATTCCAGAATGAGCTATATGCATGACATGTGAATAGATAAGGCGTCTTGGACGTAGCCAAGAGAGACCTGCCAGATTTTTTGGCACCATAAGTTAAGGGTTCCTGTGATGAGTTATCAACTCATGCAAACACATGAAATGTTCTTCTCCAAAGCCTCGGCGGCAAACCAATCCATTGTGGATACGATGTGGCCTGTGATATATGATGTAGCTCGCATAACCTCAGGTACTCACACATCCTTGAAGTCATCATATGAGGTATTTGGATGGAAGCAGTCCAAGAGCCCAATGACCTAAGAAGACAAAAAATGCACTTAAGTTAATAAGTCGACAACGTAAGCAAATCAGTTCACATCTGCAGTGGTCTGATATATATATATATATATATATATATATATATATATATATATATATATAACATTTATCAGGAGACAGATTTATCCCTGATAAAACAGAATATGATCGCACAATTATCCATCCAACAACTCTTGCCCACCAATCATAAACGGGTCACTTAATCTGCATATACATGACCGAGACAGCCAGATTGCAGTGAAATGCGAGATCGTCACAACAGGACATTCCATCAAATCCGCCGACCTTTGGCAGGTTGGTCACCTTCCGCGCCGCGGTGGAGGGGCAGCGCTCTTCAGGCAAAACAATGCGTGACCGATACGCCTCATCACAAATTTACCAAACGGAGCGGTAGTCCTGTGCATGATCCAGTCTAGTCACGCCATTTAAGCAATCGTGATCAGGTCCGGTTAAACAGGCCGTCGTGCTTTTAGTAGCTGTTTTGCAGTCTGCAGTTTAGCAGGCCGTTTTGTTTTATGTCCCTATGAAGCTCTCCAAAGTTCGCAGAGTAAAGCCAGCGAAGAAAAGCAAATCAAAATTGATATTTACATAAATGATGTGATTTTATGCAATGAGGTGATTTCATGGCATGATCTTACATGATATTGCATGATCTCAACCTCCGATACCCGGTACTTGCAAACGTCAAGATATTGGTGCTATGCAACAATCTTCTATTACTAGCCTTGGTCTCATTTTCATGCCTTAATTTGATATTCAGTTCTGAAGCCTCAATGTCCGTCATAACGAATAATGACATTTAAGCCACCAAGGGCATAAGCCAAACATTTTAGTCCACGGGATAACAACCACTCGATCTCATTTTACCATCTTATTCTAACATTATATTTTCATTTCATTATTTTAAATAAATCTTATCTTTTTACTACAGGATGATGCATTTTCTGTTTCGCGCGTCGCGAGATCGCACTACAGTATATGATGCTGGACACACATCCGATGTTCAGTATACAGTAATCGGCTGTCCCAGTAGCTTAGTTGGGTCGCGCGCCTGCCTTCATCAGAAAGCAGACGCTCGAACAAATGCCGGGGTGGGTTCGAGTCGCTTCAGGCCCCGCTTTCTGCAATGATTGATATGGTCTATAGCTAGCGGCAGCAGCCATGTTAAAGGTCAGATGACGTCAGTGTACGGGTGGGGCGGGGTGGGGCGGGGTGGGGCGGGGCGGGACGGGGCGGGCCGTGCCGAGCACTGCACGTCAAGCTTTCGCCGCAGAATTACGCCGTTGAGCCAGAGTTAGACGGTCGGATGGTGGAGCCACAGCTTGCGACACAAGGAATACATGGTGTGAGCTCTGAAGGGAGAAATCCATCCAGGTCGAGAGGCTCTGACTAAAAACTGTCTTATGAATAATGTTGTTAACATATACATCCACTGCTGAGCACAACCGAGCAGCAGAGTTGCATGACGACAGGCTGTGCGCCCCAAAACGCTCTCCTTTCCTGAGCTTCCCGGCAAACATTTCGCTTTGTTTATTTCGTTAGGGGCGGAATTCAGGAATGACGTCATGCAGAGTCAGACTGCACAACGATGGGGTGAAGTCACTCAAAGCATTATCTCACAAACAACTTGAAGAATATTTCAAGTTGCATACTGTTTTGCTTTGGCCATAGAGGGTAATGTGTTCGCTGTGTGTCACACACCCTGAAACCGCGCATTCCCGGCGCGAGCTGACGAATCGTCATCGCCTTCTTCAATGCGTGACACGGCACGCAGAAAACACCATGGTTTTGAGCGTTTGGTTTGCTGAACATCTCTCAGCGAGCTCTAAATCCAGGCCAGCACCAGGTCTGATCTGTACATGCTCACATTGTCATGCTTCATGTGTCTGAGCAGGCGCAGCTCCCGGTACGTCCTCTTGCCGTGTACGACGGAGTCAAACGGCCGAGCGAGCTTCTTGATGGCCACTTTTGTATTGGTCAGGGTGTCCAACGCGGCACTGAAACAAGCAAAACGTCCTCACAGCGAATGTCTCGCCTCAGTGGAGCCCGAGCCACAGACATGCTCGATGGGGCTGAAGCCCTGGGAAAAAAACATACAAACAATGCATACGAAAACACACGACAAACCAATCAAATGCGGTCGGACTACCAGACAAGACGTACATATAATCCTCCGTCCCGTAACTACGAGCGAAACTCCGGGCTACGCGAGCCCTGACGTCAGCTAACTGGAAACTGTGTGGTTTCCGTGGCCCGACTCGACCCCGCTTGACAGTACGCTTCTGACGGGCCCCCATTTTTAGAATGACTGATCGCACCAATGCGAAAGTTTTCGGCCACAGCCACACATCCTTCAAAGCATGCTTTCAAGTCTCAAAGCATTCACATGCACAGTGTTTGATTAAGGGGCATATTCCCACAAAGTTGCAGTTGCCAAATTCAACCTTCCCATTCCATAAACATGAACAGATTTAATTTTCATAACAGGGAAACAGTGAACGACACATATGGAAACCAGGTCTAGACCTCAACAACATGATATACTCCATAAATATGTGATTACAGAGGTCACACAGATTTCTTGATCACAGAGATATGAGACCAACACATTCTGACAGGGAAGGAAATGGACACTCGCACTGGCGCATGCATGGGTCGACGCGCTATAAACCTGAGGCCCCGCCACATGCAAAACATGGACCCACTGGTTTTGAGACATTTACAGGGACTGCTATAGAATGAGTTGCACAGTGAAGGTGATGGCACCTTCCACATATCATTTAATGATATCAGCACTGTTTGACCCACAGGTCTGTCTGATAGCTAAGTTGGTCTGAGTGCTGATGCCTCTGCTGCTTTCTGACTCAACCACACATGATTGGCCCAGTTCCAGTTGCTTTTGGTGCTCACTAATTGCACCTGATTGCAACAGTCTGGAGCTGGCGGCGGCGGCAGCGCTTAAGTCCAGTTGATGTCAAAGGGTAAATCGGACCATGCCAAGCATAGAGGAATGTTAAGGTTTTGCTGCAAAGTTCTGCTGTTGACCCATAATTTTTTGATAGGGTGATGGGGGCAGGGCTCAACAACAGGCACCACTTAATGTAGATGCTCAGCTAAAAGATGATCCATCTGAAAAGGTTAGGGTTAAATCTTGATTGGACAAAATGGGTTCCTGTGGAAATGACCAGAAGGAACCATGCAGGACCACTTCTGTGGGTCACAGCACCACAGAAAATTTATGTGACATAATGTCACAAGATGGGTCTAGACGGGCACTTCACAAGGCTTGTTTCCTGGGCTACTTGTGGTGAAGATCACGATACCACATTAATATGCATATTAATGACATTGTGTAGGTAAATTTATATTGTACCTTTAGCCTACAGGCATGGAAATTCATTACTTTTACTTGTTATGGTGATAGAGCATTGATTGATGCTCTGCTGTCTACTTGAGGGGCTGGAGAGGGCAACAGGGTTACATAGAATGCTGTCTAATGCAAACATGTTTAGGTTGAACACTGCTATTTCTGTTAGGTTCATGCTTTATCTAAGTTTCATACTTTGCAGGACACCACCCTTTATTCTATACAAAGCTAGTTAGTGGGGTGGGTGAAGTCAGAATAGCAGGCATAGTACTAGGCCAGTGTGCAGTCCTTGGCAAATATGCCAGCAATATTTTTGGGGCAGACAGAATCCTGTTCCAAATAGGAAAGTTAACTGCACCATTTTGAGCATACTTTGTGAGCTTTACTTGTCCCTGAAAACATGACTTGCTACCAGATTGTCAGTTTCTGTGATCTAGCCAATTTTGTATATCATGGAACACCTTATGATGTTTTTAAAAGTCCATGATTTCTCTGCAACATTCTGATAGGCTGTACCAAACAGAAACTTGTGCCCCACCTTTTCTCCAGTGACATCTTATTCAAATCTGCTTTGACTTGCACGCCTGGTAATACCAGCATCTGTTACAAACTCCTATGGAGCTGGCCAGGCCAAATTCAGCTTAGTGTTAAAATATTTGCTTGAAATAAGATTTGGGAATATTTTGGGAGAGTGAGGTTACTTTTGCAAGATCATAACTTGTGAAATATTGGTTACCTATGGGTTAAATTAGTGATTACCATCTGCCAAACTCATAACCGTAATTACATAATACCATAATTACACCATATTTTACACCCTGGCTTCGCAGCCAGGGAGGGACAAAGTGTGAATAGAATCAGCAATAAAGAATGACAGGCTGATTGGACACATGAAAAAGACTATCAAATGACCTATAGAGCAATCCTCATCTAATTGATTCAGGTAGTTTTATGCATTTATACTGAGATGCAAGGTAGCAGACATTACAACATTGCACTTGAGATTCCATGTCATTCAAGGTCACATGAAGGCTTTACATCCACATAATACAATGCCATTGCTGAAAACTTAGCATGCACACCATCAAAAGGACGCAATGCATCATAAATCACTTCAGCTGAAGGTTTGGCAGTTTTAAGAAAGAAACTTGGAGCAGGCAGGAAGAGCCCTAATTCTATATGCAGTCTATTCTCCAAGACTGAAATGACTTATCATTCAACTCTAACAAAGCCACTTTAGACAACTAGTATTATCCTCCCCAGTCTCCACAGACCCTTAATATGGGCAGAGAAACAAAATGCCTTAATGTTGCACACTTCAAAACCAAGCCTGTGTGGAACAAACTGAGAATGGAGGATTGGATATATGAAGTTTGTCAAAAGGGGCAAAATACGTCACAAAAATACATACCATACTTGTCCATAGGCACCAGTTCCAACCGGACTAAGATCCTTGTAGCGCAAAGGAATTTCCCATTTGGTTTTGTTTAACTCTACGGTATAAAATCCAGGTTTCATGACTCAGCTCAAAGGCCTAGGATTCTAGGAGATGAAGGGAGAAACAATAGAAAAATTTCACAGTTGCAGGTCCTTGATGATGCTAACGAATAGGGTAAACCCCAGCCTCCCTAAGCCTATACCCAAAGTTCCAGACGCCCAAACAGCCCAACCCCTGGCACACCGCTGTGTTCCGCAAGCGTCGCTTAACGTCATCTGCGCCGTGAATGTAAGAAACGAAGCTGCGTAATATTATTCAGCTGATAAATGACCGTTCCTTGATCGGTAAAAGACAGCACACCTGCACTTATATCTACCCGTTTGATTATTGAAGTTGCAAGCATGCCAAACAAGACGGCATACGAGACGCATTCGTCGGAAAAATATGAAAACAGTACTGAAAATCATCTTAACACGCAAGGTCGGCTAGATATCCTATGCTCGGGTGGGGGGGGGGGGGGGCGTCTAAGGCATATCTAGCTGGGTGGCGGGCTAGACATTCTACGCTCGGGTGAGGGGGGGGGGGTCAATTTTACCTAAGACTCGGGAACTTACAAAGCTAGAGACACCAAATTTTCAGGGTGTGCTGAGCTGTACGTGAACTTACTTCATTCAAAGTTTGAGCTGCAAAGGTCATGGGTCCTTTGGGTCAAATAAGGTCAAACAAGGTCAAATTCCAGGTTGGTCTCCAAAGTGTCCCCAGAGCCTAGATAACCGTTTCTAAGCAACAGATCACATGCTCAGTTAAGGTCAGTGACCTTGTTTGACATATCGAAGGCCATGGCTACCAAAACCATAAAGACTGCTCTGAATTTTGCATTTGAATAAGCGACAAAGATTACGCTAGGCAGCATGTTTCTAAAAACAAAATGTTGACCTGGTCATTTTAGGTCAATGGCCTATACTGACCTCTCAGAAGTCCATGGAAGACACATGATGCGGCTCCTGCTCGATAAATTCAAAATAAGCACCAAAAGCTATTCCATACAGCAAGCCACAGAGTTATAAAAACAGGCTGGTTTTGACCTTGGTGTGACCTTTATAACTGACCTTAGGGCAACACAATTTGCGCATTCAATATTTATGTTGCCTAAGCAAGCATCTCAGAGATGTATGACTGTGCCTAACACTCCGTTAATGCATCAGATTAAACGATTCCCTCGAAATTGACTTTGCTGAAACCATGGCCTGAGTTTGACCTGCCATAGGTCAGCGACCTTACGAGGTATATCCCAATTTTGTATGCCACACAATCCAATATTCCATTGTCTACAACTATGCAAAATTTGGCGCGGCTGCGCCCCGTTGTTTGGAAACCATTCTGGAAAAACCTTCGGGGGGGGGTCAGTTTGGCCTTCCCCGCCCGAGCGCATGTTAAGTAACTCCTAGGGAACCACGCATGGGGAAATAAAAAATCCAGCGGTAGATGAAAAGTCGAGATATTTTGCGAAATGCCTCTGCGAATGAGGTATAAATTATCACGTTGTTTGCACGCTGCATGGATTCACGGTTGAGAGCAAAATACGAACTACATGACCACGCATAAGCGTAGAAACGTTTCAAGAAGTGGGAGAAGCCGAGCTCAGGGCGTACTTCAGGGACTGTTTCTAGAAGCAAGCCCGATGACCGGGGGAGGGAGGGGGGTAGAGATGGAGGCTACCGTTGCTCTTTATTCAAATGTCATAAGTACTATGCTAGATATGTTGCATCTTGAACCGCTTCTGACCAGTGCACAATCTTGCCTATTCGACACATATATGGATGCCATTCGGCAAATAAGTCTATCCAGCTTCCCGAAATTATTCGTCCATTTCAACATTGGCTTTCATTGGGATGTAAAATTCCACGAGCGGGTAGGCGTTTTGGGCCACTAAGGAGGTATCTACATCCACAGGGTAGAGGCCAAAATAAGGCTTGGATAAAGGCTGGTGAGAATTTTAAAAGCGAATTGATGGTTCACAGCGCTGCAGATTTTTCATGCGCCTTCATTTTTCTGGCTGCTTTTCAAGAAATAGAGGTTGTCGCACCATTTCAGACGGAAACATTCGGAGGCTTGAAACTGCTAAAAACGATGTGACAAAGGCCGTAAAACTGGAGATTCTCCTCTAAAAACTAAGCAATGGAATGAAGGCCCTTCTGCTACATATTCCTTATCTGGGCACTGCTCCTGCCCGCTGTCGGCAGTCACTGCCCTGGCCCGGTTGTTTCCCGTCAGGACTGACTGTGAACTGATCATATGGCCGCTTTGTTGCGTATTTCTGGATCAGTGTTACTACTAATTGGTGTGTAAAACATGTGTTGGACATCCGCACTAGTATCTTTGTTCCGATTATCTTTCCTTACAGCACACCACCCCAGAAAAAAGACTCTGGGAAGCTGCCTGCCTGTATGAGTGTGAATTGACCCAACGGACATTTAATTGCCCATCATTCAACGTAGAAGACTATCTGCTTTTGTGCGTAGTCAGGGCCATAACCAATGTCTTGCTAAGCGGGGACGCAGGGTTGACAAAAGCCCCTTCTATGGTGAGCACTCCCCCAAAATCCCCGGCTATAGCCAAGGCTGCCATAGCTCACTTGTTAACAAGGGATACAGCTTTCTTCATTTCATTGTTATTTTCGCCTTGGAACTAGAAAAGAAACCAGAAACTACCGTGAGATCAATTCCGTCTGCATTTCGAAGTAAAAAAAAAACTGCAGAAATCGGGCGCTGAACGACCGCATGGAATAAATCGACGGTGCTCATAGCCTGTAGTGGTTTAGTGGACTCTTTCTTAACAGATGCAATTCAGAAGCTTTGTCAGAATGCTTTAACTGGGTTTTATAGACATGAAGGGCATTGCGAAGGTAGATTGTGGATCGATATGTTTGATCGAAATTTGAAGATGAAAATTTGGTCGCAGATCGAGTGGTCAGCTACGTGCATCAATATAGCCAAGCGATGTTTGTCTGAGAATTTTAACATTTGGTTAGAATCGATTAGTGATACAGTTCACGTAATGTGGTTTCTAGGATGAACTCGCAAATCTAAGTAACAAAAACCTCGACACCAGGCGTTGTAGTCTCCACAGTCCGCGGAGCGTTAGTCCGGTGGCTAACTTTTCGTCGTGTTTCGCCGGTGGACAAAAACGATGACAGTTCTCAGACGATTAGTGATACAACTATATGTGACGTAATTTGAGCATGCACACTCGCAAATCTTGGTAGCAAAACCTAGACACCAGACGCTGAAGTCTCGGTAGGCAGCGCAGCGTTGGCCCAGCAACTTAAACTGAGGCGTGGCCAACGAGTGGACGAAAATAATGATATTTCTGAAAACATTATTTTTGAACGCTTTAGGACATCAAATTATTTCATATTTAGAAGGCAGTATGGGCGCATATTTCAGGTGTGCGATTTTTAGACGATGATAAGAACGGATTGGCCGTTAAAGTACCGCGAAGTGGTTCTGAAATCTGGTGGTAGAACTGGCAGAGCAAAGGTAAAATCTCTATTTTTCGTCTTTCTGTAACTCTTAATCTGTCCAGACAACAAATGAACACGGCGCGCGCCGCCTGGTAGTATTTGCAGTGGCCGACGCCGTTTGGTTTTACGGAAGCTGCAATCGAAGTCATCGCTGTTCTTGTTTTCGAGGTCGCGGGCGGGCATGTTCAGACCTTTTGATGTATTTATTTCACTAATCCATTCTGAAAAGACGAAATTCGTCAGGCAAACGTGGACTGGCCTTGTAGTTTTTCAGTTCATTTCGATTCACTCTATTCAACAATAATTGGACTACACCTTACTCAACAATAATGAGACCCCCTATTTCCTTCCGGGCAAGGGGCCCCTTGAGTAGAACACCAGGGGCACATTACCGGTTCCGGTCAAGGGCTGAAGAGCCACTCCGTCCCATCGCGAAGTGTATTTCGGCTGTCATTCTGGCGACACGGGGCGGGATCTCCTGGTCGATCCGGAGGCCATTAGAAGGATATATCATATCCCATTGTTTCCCTCCCTGACACGGGAGGTCTGCCGACCCGCGCAGTTGGCCCCGGATCAGCGCAGTAATCCTCACCGACGCAATAAATTCCTGATTGCCGCAGTTGGTCCAATAATTGTCACATTTACTTCAGTCCCTTGTTTGTCTGTGTTCTTCAGAGATATTGAGGACTCCCTGAACGTAGATCCTAGGTAAAATGGGGTCCCGAATTTGTATTAACATGGTCTACCCATGTTCGTCTTAAAAGATTCCAGATCCAGTCAGAATTGATTACTGATAAAAACTATGTAATATGGTTTTGAACATGCGCGCTCGCAAGCCATAGCAACAGCCTCGACGCCCGGCTTGCAGTCTCCATAGGCCTCGCGGCTTCGGCGTGCGGTTGTGACACTAAGCGATGGCCAATAAGCAAACAAAAAAGATGACCCACCTGTAGGAAGATGGCTGGTGAACCAGGTAAATCGGCACGTGTGAAGTATGTTTTGCAAACGTGAGCTAAACACAATTTTTATTCGGAAAGTGGGGAGGGAACAGCTAACACTATTGCTATCCCCACCCTGAAAGGATCGCTTGTAGGATCATTTCGATAGTTAAAGAGCATTCCACATCGCCTTTGATTTCTTTAATTTGCTCGGGGAACCTGCGCTGTTGTTAGGGCCCTTCCTGCTGGCATGCCAGGGCACTCTTGTCAATCACGGGCCCTTCCACGTGTTCTTTCCACTCGCCAGAAAAGCTCTGTAGGCTAAAGCCGGGGTCCTATATCTTAACTTGCCGGAGTATTATCGGTCACTCAGGGGCCCTTTACGTGGGTTTCAATTAACCTAACGACGCACTTGCGATATGCTCATGGGCCCTCTTCATTGGTCCAGGGCGCTTCTAATTCTCTGTCACTTGCTTAGGGCTCTGCGCTCTTGTCGGGGGCCCATCTGATGGCCTGCCTGGGCACGCCAGTCGTTCGGGGACCCTTCACACTGGGTTTTGGGTACTTCTTTTCTTAATGGGGGCTATCTGACAACCTGCTCGGGCACATTCAATCGTTGGGGGGCCTCTACATTGGGTCTTGGGCACGTGCTATTTCAGTGGGGCCCTACGCACTTGTCCGGGGCCCCTCTGTGTGCCTTTTCAACCACACTGGACTGCTCGAGGGGCCCTGCACATTGGTTTTTGGTGTTTGAATTTAGGGCCCTCTGCTCCTATCGGGGTCATCTGATAACCTGTTCGGGCA